TCCAAGGCAGGCCAGATGGCCCCGCAGCCGGCAGGGGCTGCTCCCATCCAGCCCTTCCCCACTTTAACTGTTCAAACATTTCTTTATCCCGACAAGACAATTAAGCCAAACAGCACAGAAAGGAGTCTCGGCAACAGTTTGCAGGGGGAGCAGGAAGGTTGTTGCTGGAAAAGCAGAAAAAGGAGGCAACTGCTGCCTGCTCCAGGACCTCCCTCCAGGCAGCACACCTAGCTCCACGAGGATGGTGTGGTTTCGGTGGTGCAACAGGGATGGATGCACGGCCCTCATCTCTATTACTGTCTATCTGCCTGCCAACCCCTTCCAAAAATCTACTGTTGCTCCTTCTCTCCTCCTACATCACGCAGGGCACTGACGATGGAAAGCAAACATTCCACTTGATTTATTTCATTACTTCACAAGCAGTGTTAAGCTTGCAATTTCCCATGGTCACAGCTGATTATTATTAGCAGCAAAGCATCACTTTGCTTTACACCCAAATTTTACCAGGCTTGGAAGTGGTGCATCCTAGTGGGAAGAGGCATAGAGTGATGGATGTGCGCACATATGGATTTCTGCATGTGTGAGTATCCCTCCAACCCATTGTTCTGACACAAAATATAAGGAAAAAACCCCTTTTCCCCTCCCAGCACATAGACATACAGACAGACACAGCTCTCTACACAAGTCCCAGCCCATAAACACAAAGCCCAACAAACACACTTATCTGAGTGGTGGATGACTGTACAGACAGTTCTCAGCCTGATTTCCAAAGCGCTATGTTATTCAGGCTTTCAAGCTGTGGTCATCATAGCCCTGATGTTCATCACCTGAAGTGTGATTTACATTCAATCAATAATGAAGCAGTTATTTCAAAAGGAAAACTAACTCTGTGCTAGAGGTGTTTTTTTTAAGCCCTACAGTGGAACAAAGAGCTCTCTTGCAGAGAGAAAACCCATTGCAGCACAAACTGTCCATGTCCAGATAACCAAGGTTAAATATGATTATCAAAGATAATAATCAAAGTAATGCTAATAGAATCACCCCAACCAGTCCTAAGGGATAAGTGGGGATCCCAGCCTTCTCCCCAACTCAGTTGCTCGTCCCCAGGACACACCAAGAGCAGGGAGAGAGCTGCCAGTGGTAGCAGGGGAACTGAGGTTAGAAAAGCCAGGCTCTGCCCAGAGGATGAACCAGCAACCGGGATGTAGGGGGTCACCTTCACATGTCAGGCTGTGCTCCCCAAGAAGTCACAGTCAACACATGATGAAGACCAAGCAGCACACAGCAATGGGAAACCATCTTCTGTCGGCGCAAGGGGGTTGGGGGCATGGGCAGCCTTGCAGGAGGAGCAAAGGTGTCCGCTGGACAAGATCCAGCTCTTCACCAAGGGATCCCAGCTTTGGCATGAACCTCTGCCTGTCACTTCATGTGAAAATGGTGCTGTGGTGACTGGGTACAATATCTTATTAGACTGGGACGGATTTTATTAGAAGGAAGGAGTAAACCCAGGGATCTTTTTTATTTTCTCTGCTTTTAAAACAGGGGTATAGGTCTCTTTTGCAGAAAGGAACATGCCGTTTATTTCCACTCCTTCTAGGAACCTCAGCAATTGCATGCTTATTAAAGGAAACCCATAAAATACGTCTCCCGGTGTCTCTAACACATGCTTTACAAGAAGCCCTGAACTCTAACAAATGGCATTATTTGTAAGCATCTGAAGGAATGGGCCCATCCACTACATGGTATGTCTGCTGCTTGCTGGAAAGGCTCCGCTTTTCTACATGGTCCCTGTACACTCCACCGCGCTGGATGTCCTGACTGCACTTTACAGCAAGGGACAGCTCACCCCAATGCAGACATCTCAGCCCAATTTGCTGAGTGACAAGAAGCATCGCTCCACCCAGCTGCACCCCAGAAATGGTGCTCTCCCTTCATGGAAAAACAGGCTGAGAGTTTGCTCCCACGACGCAGAGGACTAAATACAGCACCTTCCAAACATCCCCTGAAATGAAAATGCCTGACTTTGGATTCTTCTTTTGCTGCAAAGTATCTCAAGTGTAATCATATTCTTCAGGAAAATTAAAACTCAGTGCATTGAATTCCTTTTTTTTTTTTTTAAGGAAAAGGCAAATTTCTTAGAAAATCACCTTTTAAGCTATGGGGTAAAACAGAGGTTTTAATGAGCTATTCACAACAGGTTCTTGCGCAGTGGTACAGAATACGCAGAGCAATCACAGTAATTCACCTTCCGTGTCATACAAACCCTTTCAGGAGTCTAGAAAATACAACCGAACGATGGAGCCCTACAGATCTGAGCAGCACCCATGAGACATGTAAAGGTGTTGCTGATCTGAGGCAATTTCACCATTTTTGCTCTCAGTTGTAGAAAAACCTCATCACATTTTTGCCTAGAGGCTACAGTCACCTACCTGCAACAAATTCTCCACCAGGAGCACAAGTAAATGCATTTTACAAAGGGTTATATATAACAATTACACCAGGAATCCACCAAACTTCTCAGAGGCAACAACAACCCTTTCTCCCCCCCGAGGTATGCATTTACATGGAAACTCCAAAAACACATAAGCAAACGTCAATGCAAAACAGGATCACAGTTACATCTGCAAACCGTGATCTCTCAAATTCCTTATTGCGGAAGTTTTCCTTTTCTGATGGTCAACATCAAAGATCATTAGGATCCCTCTAAAACGCTCTGCTGCTCGCTTTCCCGGCCTCCAGCAAACACACCCATACGTGCGTATGCACACACCAAATAAACTCGCCGTGTTAATGGAGCGAAGTTTCCATGGTGCAGTGTCTGTATGTGATGGGAATATGATACAGAGCCAACAGACATATTCAGTGTACACTGTCCTGGTAGTTACGGAGGAATTTTAATGTGGATGAAATATCGGGGACATTGCATTTGTCCGGCTCCTACCGTGCAGCAAAGCACCTCAAAGAAATTTAACCATACAGGAAAGAAAACAATAAAACAAAACACCTCCCGCTTCTGCCCCAGTTTCCCCATGCTGCCTGCAAAGTTTTATCCTGCTTCCTCTCCCCATGAAGTGCCCTGCCATAGGGCTGGTGGTGGCACAGGGAGCCAGTGTCACCGTGCTGCCTCTTGCATGCTCCTGTGCAGAGCCCCGCCTGCTCCCAAGGACCCACGTTCAGCACATACTGTTGGCACAGCGGTGGATGTGGATGTGGATACGTCTGTCCATCCGCAGCTGCGCTCCATGTAGTCTAATTCATTTAACAGATTTACTTCTTTAAATGGGGTATCTGACAGGATTTTGCTAGCAAGATCCATAGCAGCTGATGCGCTCTAAATTAATTTAGCTAGTGGACCCACTCCTCCACGGCTATCTCCCAGAGTATTCTTTCAAGCAAGCTTCATTTCCACAGCCAGGTTATATCGATAAGGGAAAGAGCATCGACAAAGATGTCTCTAAGCCTTGCCATCTCACCTGCCTCCCCCCAGGATAATTATATTGCCAGCTTATACACACACACATCCATACGTGCTCCCACCAGCCGAATCCCTATGGACCCAAAAGGAGGGAGAGGGAATGCTCAACAATGAAAGGAGCTTATGGCACAAAAAGTAGCACAGTCAGGGGTGGATCAGAAGGAGAGGGGGGAAAGATAAGAGTTCGCATTCATAGTGCAAGGAATACACAGCTTCTGCCTTCAGTGGGAATCGTCTTACCCACACAAATGCTGACATAAAAGACAAGCAGCATATTTCAAAACCAAAGAGCGATGGATTTACAAGGCAGGTTGATTTTATGATGACTTTTATTGAAAAGGTACGCTGGGTTTAGGCAGATGCCTTTTAGCGCCGGTAAGTTAGCACAGTGCCTAATTCAAGGAGACAGCCTGAGGAAGCAGCGCCGACAGGGGAGGGAGAGCCACAATGTCTCTATTACTCTCTTCGGCATCATAAAGGGGAGAAGAAAAATCACAACTGAAAGGGAGAGGAAGGAACGGTGCAGCAGGTTTTTGCTGGGGAAAAAATAGTAATAATAATAACAATAATAATAAAATTGTTTTCTAGGTAGAAAACTCAACAGAACAAAGGAGCCCACGTGAAAAGCAAACCACTTGCTTCTCGGTCTACACATCTGGGTTTACAGGAAAACTCTAGTCATAAGTTAGTGCTCTTCTTCAGGGTACCACGCTCCACTGCCCCCAGACCACTCCCCACCATGGGTCACCTCCCAGCACAGCAAATCTGGAAGCCTGTCCTTCCTGAAGGACAGCTCTGCCCCGCTGCATAGGCAACACCACAAGGGACAAGGTGATGGGGAGTTACAGTCGTGAACATGCAGACTGGTTTCCTTCAGTCCAATCACCGTGCGAAAGGGCACATCACCTTTCAACAGGCACCAAAGGGGGAAACACTCCAAGAAAGCACATGATGCAACAGCTTATTGAATTGTAAGGATGGATCCAGGTTTATGTCTCGAAGAGGGAGCTTGGCAGCCAGAAATATTCTTATGATAACCAGAGGAAAAGGTACTTTTGTCTTAACCTGAGGCACAAATCCTGAAGGTGATGCATTTGCTGTAAAGAACAGTGTGCATGAAGAAAAGGTCAGAAAGAAATACCTGAGGAAGCAGGGGGTACATGTTTCCTGCAAGCTCTGGGAAAGTTTCTGGCTACACACTCCAGCTGCATTCCTGTTTACACACATGTATGTACCAGCATCTATAGCCTCACACTCGGGGCTCAGACAGCTTTCTGCATGGTCAACATTGCCTCTCCAGCTGTGTGCTGGAAGACAAGTTTCCCTCAAGAGCATCTCACCTTAAAATCTACCAATGTCCATTTAGAAGAGACAAGGCAACACTGCGTGGCTGCGTTTGGCAGGCAGGAAAGGCTGGTTTTTCTCTGCCTTCAGCAAGAACCACAGCACTGCAGGACAATCACCTGTTGAGTATCTCAACGAGGTGCAACTAAAGAAGAACCAACAAGTCAATGGAGGTACTTACATCTGTCACTTCGGTCTTCCGGACTGGATGAGGTCTCCCGGTCAGAAATGAGGCCAGAAACGGCAAAGATCTTCTTCCCCGTCTCATCAACTTTGAGGGAGCCGGGGGAGCTGGAGGGGAGCTGCGTGCCAAACTCGTACTCCTTCCCATCGGTGTCGGAGAAGCGCAGATGGGGTGAATCAGTGTCATGGCAGTTCTTCAGGCGCTTGGCCGGTGTAAAAGCTGACTGATAGCTCTCCCGGTCCTCAGTAGATGCAAAGGGGCGGAAAGCCCCAACGCCGCTGTGGTTCAACATACTGATTGGGGTGCAGTCCAGGTTGGGGGGTGCAAACTGGGGGTGGAGGTGAAGCAAGGACGGAGGAAAGTCACGGTTTGCGAACGCTCCCGGCACCCCACCTTGCCGGTGATACATGGAGGCAAAAGTATATGAGCCATTGGTAAAGGGAATGTGCACGTCCTTATCTGCTGACACAGGGACCCCAAAAGGCCTTGGCTGCTGGCAGGGAATGGAAGCATCACGGCTGGCTTCAGCAGTGGAGGCAAGAACCATCAGTGCTGGGGAGGCCAGTGGGTTGGGGAGATAGGGTGAGTTCTCCATCTTGAACGCGGCCCGGTGTAAGTCCATCGGAGTCTCTTTTGTCAGCAGGATTACAAGCGGAACAATCTTCCCTGGAAGGAAAGCAAAGCGATGCCTGGGAATGGAGCGAGGAAAATTACTGGAGCATCATCGCCCTCCGAACACTGCAAGGAAACAGAAAAGAGAAGAAAACACAATCGGTTAGGCTTCTGCACTCCCCTCTCTGGGATGCTCCAGCAGCAGGGTGGCCACATGTGTTACAACCCACTGGCCGGAGACGCACCACTGTTCTCATTCAAGAAAATCAATAGACAACTTCACACACTACTGGAATCAGCTCTGGCCCTCCAGGTTAAAGGGTATCATCCAGTGCAGATGAATGAAAGGCACAACCAAACATAATAACATGCAGATTTAATAACCCACTAATAAACAAGGTTCAGTCTAAAATTAAGATAGTAACTCCAAATTATAATTGCAATTTTATATGGCAAAGGAGGCATGTACGTGTAATAAACTTCAGAAAGCCCACACATGCACACACTACTGTTTGCTTCGGGGGGTGTGTGTGTAACCACCATAAAAATATCTATTGCACATAGTTACCCACATAAGCCAGCGTTAAGTAGTTATACTGTACACGATGTCTAAGACACACGTATTTTCTCTCATTCTCACAGTATGTATGGGCAGGTAGGTACTTGCACACACAGTACTTGATATCATTATGTGTATATATATATATATACACACACTGTTGGAATGTAGGAATGTGACTGCATATGAGTGCATGTGTGTAATAGACAAACACCCACATGTGCGTATGTGGTCCCTGGTAGCCAAAGGAGAAGAGATATCCCCAGTAAAATGCCTGGCATCTCTGACAGTATTTGAAATCATAATGGGTGCTTCTGCCATCTGATCTCTGCAAGCGTCTCCCTTTCGGGTCGGGGACACGAGAGAATGGATCAGTAATTTTAGTTCCTAATGCACTCACTCTTAAGTAGATTTGTAAACTGCCCTGGATGCGCCATTAACATTTAGAGGAAAATGTTAACAAAATTTCTGCCTCGCATCTTGCTGAGCCTCCCGGGTTGGCTGCAGCCACCCAGCCAGCCACCACCCCCTCCCAGGGTGAGAGAAGGGAAAACGCTCCTTTCCGCGTCTCCCCCAGTGCGCTCCAGCTTTTTGTGTTGTTATTTTCTCCCCCAATCAATCTCATGTCTTTTCTTTTAAGCTTCCGCCGCCTGCCATTCAGGCCCCACAGCCCAGCTTAAAATACAAGGACTATAACTTTGAAACAATATACTAGCCAATATACTAGCCGCTGGAGCTCAAAGGGCCAGAAAAATCATATAATAATAAAAAGCTGTTACAAATTGTGCCTCTTAAATCCAGAGGGTCAAACATCTCAAATAAAACTTAGTGAAAGAGTGTCTCCCTAATGGAGTTCCTTTTGTACTCCATGAATGAGGGAGCCTAGGTTAACAAAGTGTATGAAATCCAGTCTGTGGCTTTAATGCAGTTCAGTGATAACATTTCCTCTCTCCCATCCTATACCCAGCCACTCCAGCGACTGTTATTAATTGTGAAGATGAGTGGACATCATCTCTCTGCTTCCTCATTTGGCACCCATCCCTACAGACATCATTGCTAAATTACCAGATTATGTATCTCGCATTAACGGATTTGCTCTCTTCCAAATTTTAAATAACTTTCCTGTCTAGTTCTTGCCACGGGGAATGAGGGGGGAGAGGGAGAGAGAGGGATGCCAAGGGCATCCTGGTCAGTGCTGCAGTCCTGGGCACACTCGCTCAGCTGCTTCACGCCAGGCTGATCAAAAACTGGAGGTCAGGAAACTGCAGCCACTGGCAAAGCTGGGTGGCTGGGGGCTTACACAGCCGTGTAAGTACATACATACACACGCACAATTATATGTCTAAAGAGATGCATGTGGATAAGCCACCAGTCTCAGAAATAAACAGTCATTAGCATGGAAGCCCAACTGAGCAACCATGGGAAAACATGGATTTCCAGAAGAAAAAAAAACAACAAACCAGCAACTACCTCTGCCTCCTTTTCTATTTTTACTTGTGCTATCACCCCATTACGTTAAATGTATTTCATAAATTAGTAATCTGGCCGCAACACTTGACACTCCTGTAGGATGCTGTGAATCACTACAGCCGCTTTTTCGTTTGCAAACTTCATTACACCAGGAATAAATCAACACATTACAATATCTCAACCGGCCAAATCTGATTTTTTTTCAGCTCCCACTTCCTTTTTCGTTCTCCCCCGCTCCCAGCACCTCCCCAACCCCCAGCAACAGGGACAGATTACACTGCAGCAGGCCAGTCATTATGAAAATCTATCGTTAATACACTCCCAATGTCAAAATGTCATAGATTTAAATACAGAACCCCAAAATAAGGAAACTAACTGACCTCCTTAATTAAGAAAACATGGATTGCGGGGTAATCAGCTGGAGGGAACATTTGGGGGCCGGGGAGGCGGTGGGCACAGGTGGAGGGAGGAACTGCTACTTTTCTGCCTCTATGCTGATTTTTTTTAATTTAGCACCTCGTGCAAATCCAGATTAAAATAACTCCAGCTATTGATCCGGGCAGTGGAATTGACATTAATTTTAGTTCACTTCTCACTTTGCAAAGGGATCAATAGGAAGTAATAACAGCTGACATCCCCGCTGAAAGGAGGAGAAAAGACGGGCTGGAGACAGAAATCGAAAAGCAACCAAATAAATCAGCAGCTACTTTTCCACCGCATCAGACAAACTCCAAACAGATTGCAAAAAGTCTTTGTTGAATTAACCAAACAAGGAGTAGAGGGAAGGGAGTGGAGATCAATCGAGGAAGGTGCATAAACTGTCTGCCAAGTACGAAGGTTAGACGGACAGGCTGAAAACAAACTCTGATTTTTTTAATTCCTATTGTTTTTTTCACAGCTTCCTATTTGTATAGTTATTGGGTTTCAGAGCTACCCTGTTTAAGGTGTACACAAATTACCTGTGTAATCGTGTGTGTTGCCAAGAACAAGGCTAAGCACGCCACAATCAAGACAGATTGAATCAACAGCCCTTAGCTCTGAACCATGAGGGGGGGGAAAATCTCTCACCAAGGAACAAGTTGTAATCAGTTATCACTGGCTCAGTTGTGGCTCCTCTGCTTACGAGGGTCGCAGCACTGGGCTGAATTAGTTAAGAGGAAAGTCTAACAAAAGTAGGAGAAGCCATGAGGGAGCTGGATTTAGGAGGCATCACAAGCACGCAGTAAGTGGAGAAAACAGCAGTGACCACTGGTTAGAAGCGTAAAAACCAGTCGCTAATCAGCCCGCAAAGAAACAGGCACCCAGGCAAAACACATGCGCACCCCAGACGCTGCCACCGGATCTGCAAAGCTCTTACTAAAACGTTACTCGGAGTTCCTATTACTAAATCACCTCTCTGCTATCGATTAAAATAAATAAAATGCACCACTCTGGTTTCTACAACAGGTTGCATTTTTGCGGTCTCTCAACCATTTCCAAATGCCAGAGATTAAAATAATGGGGCAAATTAACATTTTTTCCCCCTCCAGAAACAAAGTTTCCTTGGGGTAAAAAAAAAAATATAAAAAATAAAAATTAACAAGCTATAGGAAAAAAAAAAAAGGCAACCCAAAACAATAGGAAATCCAGGAAAATCGGTGCTGCATGTAAATTAGGAAAGATCCAGGAAAAAAAAAATCACAATATCCATTTACATTAAAAACTTCTTTTCCCCATAAATGTCAAGTAGGAATTTAGAAATATGCTCTGCGCAGAAAAGCCAAAGATTATAAAACAAAATAATGCCAGCTGTTTGGGGATTTAAGTGCTCAAATGGATTATATATTTGAACCAAACTGGATTTCCTTATAATAAATAAAACAAATGCAAGCTCGAAAGCCAACAAAGGAGAGCTCTCATCACCGGATTAAGATACAAAGGAAAAACAGTTAATTTTTGTTATTATTTTCCCTTCCCCCCCCACACCCCAACGTGCGAAATACGCCAAGTGCAGCCGCACACCCGGGCAGCTGCTGTGAAAACCGGTGTAAGGGGAAATGAAGAAAACAAAACACTACATAGGAGAGCGGGGAGCGGAGGAGCAGGCGGTGGGGACGGCCGGAGCTCCGGCCCCGGGCAGGGCAGCCCGGCCTCTGTCCCCTCGTCCCGCTCTGCGCTCCGGCTGGTGTTTTGCTATAAACTTCTTAAAATGTATATATATATAAATATATAATTTTAAGAATTAAAAAGGGGATGAAAAAAGCCCCCGGCGGAGAGGGAGAGGCGGTGTCGGGCTGCAGGGGGGGGAAGCGCTGGGGGTTGGGAAGAGGGTGAAAAAAAAGGGAAAGAAATAAAAATAATGCCCTACCGGATAGGGGATTATAAAATACGCCGGTACCGGGGCTCTATCGGCCGCCGCGCCCCGGCCGCGCTGCCAACTTGGCGGAACCCGAACGAAAATAGCGGGCGGTGTCGCCCCGAGGGAAGCCCCGCTCCGGCAGGCACCGGCACCGGGCTCCGGAACCGGTCAGCGGCCCCTCCGGCAGCGGCCGCCTCGGCCAACCGGGCTGGCACCTTCGCCTCCTGCCGCTGATCCTTCTCCCCCCGCCCGGAGCGGGTCGGGTCGGGGGGTGTTAAATAAACCCCAATAAAACAGAAGCAGAAGGGGTGAGCCCCGGTTGGAGCCCGCCGCTCCGCTGTGCCCGCCGGTAAATTAAACAGGTGTCTGGCGAGGCCGGGGCGGCGGGCACGGTTCGGTACGGCCCGGCCGAGGGCTCGGCTCAGCCCGGAGAAGCCCCGCTCCCCGCCGGGGCTGCTCCTCTCCTGCCGCCTCTGGAACTGTGCGCTCCCGGGAAGGGAAGCGGGAGGGGGGTCCCGGGTCCGGTCCGGTCCGGTCCGCACAGCCCGGGAAGCGCTTTCCCCCTTACCCCCCCCCCCAACACACACACACTTTTTCCTCCTCCTTAAACCCCCAAGTCACAAAGATCATCAAACGCAAAGATTACCAGAGTTGTTTGGATTTATTGCAACAATCACTTACCATACACATTTCCTGTGTGGAAGGATAAGCATTCAATACAACTCTTTAAGTAGACAGTTCCTAATGATTTCATTGTGGTCAACCAGATGGTTTTTATGTATTTAGATCTGAAGGTGAAGAATTATTTTCCATGCTTCCAACCTATTTACAGACTTCCCTGGTCTAGAGCTGGGGTTGTTGGTTAAAAGAAAGAAAATCCTGCGATTTCTCGATCGCATCGCTGGATGATCCAGAAAGTTTTCTAAAGGACCTAAAGCGAAAACAAGGATAATTCCTTTCACCTCTTCTGGCTTCCCAAGCTACGCCTTCACATGTGGAGCAATTTTAGCTCATTCGTTGAATAACGCTGACAATTTAAACCTCCTCTCTACCTTTTGTTTTATCTGCAATAATAAAACCAGAACGACACCGCGTGCGAGCGAAATCCAGGCGGCCGGTTCCTACCTGAAAGCAGTCGGGGGCAAGGGCGGCAATCTTTTGGGGATGAAGGACCCGAGGAGGGGCGAGGATGTTGGCCAAACTTCAGCCTCGGCCAAAATTAAGCTAAAGCGGCGGCTTTACCAGCGTGAGTTTCGAAATAAAAACTCATTCGGTCTTCGAGCGGGGATCGCGCATTTTCGGTACGGCTTAAAACTAAAGTTCACACGGGGACTGCGCGCTTGCAAAAAACGAAAGCTTCGGAGTAAATGAATTTACCGGTTGTTCGGGGGTTCCTGAGCAAACAGAAACCCTGGAAGGGGTTTTCTTTTTTTTTCTTTCAGAGACCCTGATTGAAAAATAAAAGCCTTATTTGGGTATTTGCAAGGAAAAAAAAAATAGGGGAAAAAAATGAAAACACAAGCAAGGCGCCGAGGTTTGTGGATCCGCTTATTTCCTTCGGAAAAATAGAAAAGTTTTTGTTTCGCAGCCGCTGGGAAATGGAATTGTCGCTGCCCAGAGCGACCGTGGAGAGAGCGAGGTCCTGGGCGCCGCGGGGGGAAGCGAGGAAATAACTCGCCGGTTTGCCCCGTCGGGAAAATGAGCTCGGAGAGGGGGGGGGGGGTGTGTGGGGGGGGTGGGGGTGTATGGAAAAAGAGTTAAAGAAATAGTGTCTGTTTCGGAGCGAGGGCTGTGCGCCGGGCCCTGGGTCCGGCCGGGCCCCCCGGCACCTGATCCCTGGTGGCGACCGGTCCCCCCGGAAAGGCACCGTGAGGTTGGGGGGGAGGGATCGGGGCAGCTCGGGGCTCGCCGAGGGTCCGGGGGGGGGCCCTTTATGTGCCTTTCCCCTCGGCACTATCATGCCGATCCACACCCACCCGGCCCTCCCCGCGGCCGGCGCGGCTCCCCGCCGCCGCTGCCTCGCTGCCCGGCTTCCCCGGGGCTGGGCAGCGGGAAAGGGCGCGGGGGGCTGGGGTGGAGGTAAGAGGGAGGGAAGGGAAAGGAAAGGAGGGGGGAGAAACTTGCCCTGCAAAGTTTGCGTGTGGCCGGGCGGCCCCGGTGGCCGGTACTCACGGTGCGGCTGCCGGCGGGCGCTGCGCGGAGCTGGCGGCGTGCGGGGAGCTGGGGAGTCCCGGGCGTGCTGGCCCCGCTGCGCGCCCGCGGCTCGCATGAAGCAGAGCGGGAGGCGCCGGGGGTGCGAGGGAAGGAGCAGTGCTGCCTCTCAGTGCCGGCTCTCATCAGTGAATGAGCCTCCACTCTCCGAGGGACTCCTGGCTGCACACACACACGCACACACATACACACGCACACACACACTCGCACACGGAGCCAGGCTGAGCAGTGCATACATTAGGGCACTCGGGCAGTATGGGAAATGCAGTCCAGGACCGCGGACCGGGCGTGCACCCGCCGCCCGGCCACCAAGCACAGCCCTGGAGTTGTCCAAACGGGGTGTCGGGGGGCTGCTGCCCTCCCAGAGACGCCTCTTCCCCCCCAGCCCCACCGCACCGCCCTTAGTTCCTGCCACTGGGTCACATTTTCCGCTGCGCAGCTCCCTCCCGAATTGCAGCGGGATGCTGAAGGGTCCCCCGGGTGACAGAACACCCCCCGGGGCACCCCTGCACCCCTCCGGTCTCGGGTCACCCGGTACCTGTGAGATGTTCATACAGTCCCCCCCAGGCACCCCACTGCATCTCCTGGCACTCATACCAGGGTACCCAGGGATGGGCAGACCTAAGACCATCCCCAAATTCACCTCAGACCATGGCAGCAAAGCTGGAGAGCAAATTAGGGAATTCACCCTCTCAGTGTTTCCCCAGCTGCAGCACGCACAGCACGCACATTGCTATTTTAATGTTTCCTGGATTCATGTCACAGCCCTGCACAAACCCACCCGCACACACACACCACCTCGGCCACAGCCAACTGCCCTGCCAGCCATGGGACTGTCCTGAGCAAAAACTGAGCATTGTAGGAAATGGAAGAGCCAGTTTTAGATGAGGGCTCAGATGAAACACTTGTCTTATTGTTTGTTCGGGATTGAACCAAAAGACTGATTTATTCCACCCGGGAGGGAACTGCTTTGTTTTGTTTCTTCAACCGCTAAATAATTTCAGGTTGTTCTTTAAAACAGAGGATGGGCAGCATTTCTTGGCTTTTATCTAACTCTGCATTGGCATTTGCAAAATAGGACCATGCAGTGCAACACACATTGACAGAAGTCCTCTCCATCAGCATCATCAACCACTTAGGCTACATCCTATATGTGTGTGTGAGAGTAAGAGGGATTATGTGCTTATGTCATCCAACAACTTCTGTGAAAGCAGTGACTCATCACTAAAGAATATGGGCTGGGTTTGCCTGTTAATCCGTGGGATCACTGAACACGCCAACCCCTATAAAAGTGTCCACAGGCACAGTAACAAACATGGCTGCAGGCCTTATCTGGGTGCACTGTGAAGACCACAGTGGTTTGCTTCTCTGGTGGGTTAAAGCTCATACTTTCTACAACACTTCAGAGATGGGTGTTAGGCAGTCAGGGTGCCTGCATGTCTCGTGAATAGTAAAATCTTTGGCAATGGCAGTAAATGTAGCCCAAACCCCCCAAAACAAGCTGCTTTCTTTATTTTCACACTTAAATTTCAACATAAAACAACGTGGCATTTCAAACTCCTCAGCTCAGGAAAGCACCTGGGTGAAGGAGCTTCCTGTACTTTCTTTACATAGCTACCAGCAGCTCTGTTCCCTGCTCTGTCCTGCAGCTCAGCCATGCAGAGGCTGATGACACCAAACCACAAGAGCATGCTTCTTGCCCTTCAAGGCTTCTGCTCCATCACAGCTTCCCTGCACATCACGTGTGGGAGCAAGAGCGGTGGCAGGGCAGGCAGCCTTCTGCCTTCTGCCACGGATCAGCCATGTCATGGTGGTAAATGTGGGATGAGGAGCCTGGGTTCCTTTCCTGCTTCGTGTAAAAGCTGGCATTTCAATATTCCAGGTAAAAGTCTCTCACAACTGTGAGCAAACTTTACTGGGCATATGTTCTGCTCATGAGTAACATCCTCCAGTTACCCCTTGACTAACCAGAGTTAAGATTTTGGGGGCATTGGTCATTTCTAACACATCTTTGGAAACAGCTGCCCCACAGGCTGCATATACAGATGTGCCCCAACGCACGAGTCATGATGAGTTGTGTGGGGACACCAGATTAATGGGCATCACACACGTTTCCAGGGCCTCCAGCATGCTCTGTGCCAACAGTACCAACCAGCTGAGGACTTCCCATAATAATATTTCATAGGGTGGTATAAACGATCCATAGGATAGTAGAGATGAGCCCTATTTTAAACAACATCAGTGTTCTGACACACTTCAGGAAGCCATATTAAACCCCAACCATTGTTTCCCAAGGATCTTGAGGAAAACATTCAACCACAGCCCAGCTGGTGCTACAGCTTTAACCAGAATCCTGGTTAAACAAGTGCTCTTATTATAAAGCTGTATTTTCAGTACTTACAACATCATGAAAAATGATCCCTCAGATTCAAACTTCTTTTATTTTTTTTGTTCTTAGCCAAAAAGCAATTTTTTTATCTTTTTTTTTTTTTTTTCCAGCTCCTTAGTATGGAAAAAGGGATCTGAATCCGGTGTCTGATTTATGCGAGCTGAGAATCAAGCTCTATGCTTTGAGGCTTGAAAAAGAATTTATGCAGCTTTATTTAACTTTATGTTATGACACCGTCACACAAGAACTTAATACAGTTTGGGTTCAGGGAACAAGTCTGGTATTCAGCTAGCTTCTGTGAGCAATGTCTTCAGAGGAAAATGAGAAGATACACTCAAGTTATTTATACTGGTAATTACCATTAATCTGTATTACTAATGAGGGTTTTGATCCTGGAAATGGATCCATAAACATGGACTCCTGCACCACTACGGAGCTGTGATATGCACAGAGGCCCATAGGAAAAATTTCCACTGAAATATACTCTACACTGATAATTTGGACCCTAAAATAACTTTGAACATCTGATTTAACTTTGGGTGCACTGCTCATCTCTAAGAGCAATAGGAGAAACCTTCATTTCTTTCGTATTTCTTTTCCCTCTTAGTATTAAAACAACATTTGAGGTTGTTATAGGCTATCACAAGGTACAGCTACAGCTGTACCTTCTCATTGTTCTAAATACTGAAATCTAAATTAAATTAACATATACAATCCTCACCCTACAGAGTTGATTAGATGCAGTTAACTTTATGCATATGGATTTCAATAGGATTACCAATAGTGCATAAAGTCAAGTGTACATGTAAATTCCTTCAGGGACAGTGCCTCGACTGGAAGCTTGCTGGATTCTTACAATACCACTGCACAGTTCTCAAATCAAGAACCCCCCTCACTCATCACTATGTCCTCTCACTGCTATCTTATAAAATAAGATTGAGAAATATGATAAATGTTAGCAGCAGCTGTAGAAAGCATGGTGGAAAACTGCACTGCACATATACCAGCAGCACCCTGGGACCCCATGACAGCGCGTTGCATTTGTTGGGAGCTGCCTTGTTGTGATGCTATGGGTCCCCAAACGCGACACCCTGAGAAATGCTGCACGTATGGGACCACATCAAGTCACTGGCTCTATCACCTCCACTAGACCCACACATCCCTTGCATCCTTTCATCAGCAGTTATGGATGGAGGAGGGGGAATGTCAACTTGTTCAATTAATTAATTATTAACAATAAACTTTTAATGGCAATTAGGCTCCAAGGCGGCTGTCGCTCCCCGCGAGGTGTGGCTGGCTGGCTGGCTGGCTGGCTGGCTAGCTGGCGGGTGTAATCTCCATGCCCTCTGCTGGCTATAGCCAGCGTGTCTCAGCAGCGTGCCACCACCACCCTGTCCTCACTGCTGGGAGAAGGGCCACCCGCCCACGATGCTGGGAAGTGCTGCCAGTGGCAGGAGTCCCTGCTGCCCAAATGTTTTTGTCCCCTGGTTTTATCAGAGCCGTGGCCCTGGTTTAAATGTCAATAAGCTGGTGCCTACACTCCAGGAGGGCAGGAGCTTGAAGCCTCTGCAGTTAGCTATGTTTCACTGATGCTGTCAGCAAGGACATCTGAGCTGAAGATTGACCTATGAGTTTGAAAGCATTATTCTGGTCTTAGCAGCTGATCTGGGCTTTATTCTAGTGAATGGTGTAAGGATTTTCCCATAGCTCAGGAGAGCTCATGTGGGAACTCTATGTCTTCTGAGCCATATGTGGCTGCCCTCCGCCAGTCCCCTCTCTCTTGCAGAGGAAGAATTTGGCAGAGGGAGGGTTGAA